AATCCTGTTTTTTTTAGTGGCATTTATTATTTATTAATATTATTTGTATAAAATAAATATTTAAATATTTAAATAAGAGTATTACTATTTGTACACTATGTGTACATACACATATCACGTGACTAACTATTATCCAATCAGATAGCATAAAATTAACAAAAGATTCTAATTCGAATACTACTATATTAAATATAAATGAGGTCTAAAGTGAAGGCAAATCATATGTGATTAACCAATCAAATCGCGAATTTAATCAGCTCCCGGCAAACCAAAAAGAGGCAAAGTACAAGAAGCTGATGTTTAAACCAGTCTTGGTGCACTAATAAAAATGTTGGGGAGCTAACTTTAACCCTAACCCTAATGTTGATAAGTAAAAATTTACCGAGTTTTTGTGTAACTTGCCTCCACTTTAAACATCTGCGTATACAAGAATAATAGATCCACTATGTATTAGACCCGGGTCTAAACATAGGTCAAAATATTGGTAAAGAGATCTGGGTATATGAGACACAATATCAACTAATCAGAATTGTTATTATATTCCCTGATATGAGACCCTGTATAAAACCTAATTTCCTTACAACAGGTCTATAAATAATCTTATCTATCTATGGAGTAAACTATTTTTATACACAGTACGGTAATACAAATTAGAACACGAGAAAATTGATCATTACGCATATACATTCGTTGTATCAAAATTAAAAGAACTATATTGATATTGATACTCACCCTAACAAAGTGGGTTCATATATGTACGCATTATTATTTAAATCTGCACCTATATACATTAGTTATTAATTGGATACTTACCATCATATATACATATAAATATCAGCATAGTATACACTAAAACACATTTACAATACATGCAATCATATGAAAGTTAACAATTCAAATTAATCAGCAAAAAGAAGAAAAAATCAGCTATTAAATTTTTCAGAGCAAGAATAACATATCAGATAAGTAATTTTGCATTCTAGCCAGACTAATCATTAATTATGAATTACTAGAAACATATAACATTCATAAACTATATTTTGACAAGTCTTCGCATAATGTCTATACTGCTTGCACTTCCCACATTTCCGTCCATTTGCATTACTTGCCATGTCTTCGATATGGTTGTTATCCATTACATTAACATTTCTACTATCTTTTAAAAATCGCTTCTCATTGCGTGTATCTTTTTCAATACTTGCTTTGAGCCTTTTCGGAGGTCTTCCTTTATGTCTGATAATAGCAGGATTATTAATGTCTGCTAAGTAATGATTTTCTACTTCCTGGTTCTTGTTTTGAGCATCATAAATTAATGTCTTAAAAGTATTTAATAATTCATGCTCCAAATTAGCCTTAATGGCATAATCGATGAGTTTCTTTGATAGCCCAAATAATTCCGCATATGTAGCTTTTTTTGATTTTACTAATATATACAATTTACTATATAACAATAGTAAAACTATTTAATAACTTAGTTTTAATAATCATCAGAACTATCGTAGTTATCAGAAAACCTATGATAATAAAACAAATTATTGTCATCAAAGAAATCATTATCACCAGAAAAATTGTCCGCTGAAAAATCATTACCATTAGAAAAAATTATTGCTACCAAAAAAATTATCATTATCAGGAAAAATATTACTGTCATCAAAAAAATCCTGTTTCATTAAAAAAATTATCATTAATAGACATACTTTGATCTGCTGTTTTAAAAAAATCTGTAATAGGTTTTTAATTCATAGACTCAGTAATTTTTTGCTTCATTAATATTAAGTATTTATGAAATACTTTTAAATCATTATTATTTAAAAAGAAATCGTCACATATTTGTTGTTTAGCAAACAATATAAAACTTTTCAACCCACTTATTTCTTCAGCAGCAGTGATTTTTGGCAGTTCTTTGTCAGAATCATCTGGATCACTCTGCTCGTACTCCAATTGTTCTGCTAATATAGTTTCAACAATCTGTGTATCATTAAGTGTTTTTTCTGTAGGAATATGAGTTTGATTAACTTCTCTATATGCATCTATTTCTTGCACAACTGTATCTTCAGTAAGA